AATCATTTAGCGCAATTACCTAGGTGCATGCGATCTAAATTGGGAAAGGAGCAGAAGTAGGGAATATTAATTCTTGATTTGACTACGTGCTCCAACTCATGAATGACGAATTCTCATGGAAAAGAAGCAAGACAATATTAGGAAGTCGTAACGGGATCGAAATTATTGGTGAGATTCTCACAAAGTAATAAAGAAAACAATGAAAGCGGCGGATTTGTTTCAAGCCTCATAAGGCTCACGTTGAGATAGCAATGTTCATCATATTCTTAGGGGAAAGAATAAAAAAAAACCACCAAATCCGAAATAATTTCCGCGGCAGTAAATTCGAGGTCCCATTTAAGAGACGATCGTTAGATTCTCGTAATATCAAGATGATCGTGTCGGAAGGAGATTAAACGCGATCGCGGAAACTTGAGGAAATTAAAGCGACTAGAGGTAACCGCGGGATTCTCGTAAAATCATGAGTAAGGACGATCGTGGAATTCTCGTTAATTCAAGACGGCGCTATAAATGACGGCGATATTTCTCATAAAACCGGAATGTTATTAAAACTGATCGTCAAACTTGTACAGTATTCGCGAAGCTTGCATCCGCGCAAATTAAATCGACATTCACGCCTTCAGAAATGTGATTACAAGTGCAATTGAGAGGGTACAAAGATTTTAAGAGAACGTCTTATTCGATTATTATAAATGAAAAGAGAGTGGAAGAACAGCGATCGTCGGATTATCTTAAATGAGAAAAACCGCCACGACCGAAATTAACGCGAGAGATCGGGGTATAATCGAGACTATGGGACTTACGTTTATACTGCTGAGGGGTGTCGGGCTGACACCCCTGCGGCCACTGCCGCCGCCGCTGCTGACCTCCGCGTCCAGTTTGCCGATTTGCCTAATCGCTGCGACGTGGACGACGATCAGTCGGTTCCACGATTCTGAAAACGCCGCGAAATCACGCGTAGGACGAGATACACGCGCGTTATCGGTCGCGAGACGCGTGGACGATCTCGTTGACGTACGGCGGGTTTCGATCACGACTCCATCTCTCAAGTGCTTTCGAGTGTTCCTCAAGAAGACGGATCTCTTCTCCCGAGCTCGCGATACTGTCTCTCTCTCTTTCTCTCTGTTTCGAAAGCGCGCGCGCGCGCAATCGTATCTCGCGTGGCGATTTCAATCGGTATATCGGTGGTGGACGCGGCTACGACACGTCAACGTCGCATGCGAGTCGCGCGGAGCAGCCTCCTTTCGGGCAGCCGGCTACATTCATAGCGATGAGCGCACTGGCTGGCTGAATGGCACTCGTAAAACGTACGCACACAGTGCTCGCGACGCTCGTCGGGGCACAGAGCGTCGACGCGCGGCGGGCCGCGCGGCTTCGGCCGAAGCCGCGAAGCTTCATTATTCACTGACGCGCTCCAGCGAGGGCCGCGGCGCGAGCACGTCAATCCTCGCGGACACTATATCGCCGGGCGACGGGCGACCGATCCCGGTACCCCCCTTTTTTTTTCGTCGATCGATGCGCGACGCATCCGTGTCCCACTTCGATTCCTCTCGCGCGGATACTACCTGGAGCCCCCGGCAAACGGAACATTCGCGACGACGGCAACCGGTGACGACGGCGATGGCGACGATGATAATGCCGACGGACGATTGGTGGGTGGTGGTAGCGGTGGTGATGATGCGCGCGTGATTAAGGCGGCGATGACGGTGACGATGAAGGCGACAACCGCGACGAAGGCGAGTCGGCGTGCTGCTCGTACGCCTTAAGGGCCGTTGGTCGCAGACGCATGCTCGCGGCACGTCGCAGCCTCTCGCACTGACCGCACGTAACACGTAAGAGAGAGGTGCGTACTGTACTTGTGTGTCTACCCCCTCCTGCTGTCCTTCTCTCTCTTTCTCGCTCTCCGCGCTCTTCCCTCCCTCGTCGCCCTCCGGAGGAGCGCTATCTCTCCTTATCGCGTGCCCCGGCTCTCTTCGTCACTTTCTCGTCAATTATCCGCGCGCGCGGAAGAAGACGCGGCCCCCAAAGGGGAGAAAGAAGTGTTTCCACACACACGCGGGTTGTGCGCGCGGGCGCGCGCGCACGCCGGGGCCCTCTTTGAATCCTCCGCTTTGCGCGCCGGCTTCACGCGGGTATCCTCGCGCGGTAACTCCGCCGGGAACGTTGAACGCGAGTCCGGAATTGCCGTGGCGCCACTCTTCCTCCCCTCCCGGTGCCTCCATTCTCTTCTTCCACCTCGTCCTCGTCCTCCTCGTCGTCGTCGTCGTCGTCGGCGACGTCGTTGTCCTCCGCCGTGAGTGAGCGAGTGCCGCCGCGCGGCCACGGGGCTGCCTCCTCTCCGCAACGCGCGGCGCCGCGCGTCCCACCTCGTTTTTCCCTATAATTTGCCCGGCACGGCCGGGCTTTTTTTCCTTTACTCCATTTTCGTATCTCCTCTCCGCCCCGCCGCTCGTCGCGACTCTGCCGTTGCTACCCTTTGCGTCCCTTTCGTTCCCCTCCGCCCCCTTCTCCTGCTCTCTCTCTCTCTCTCTCTTCCATCGCTCATCCTCTCTCGCGATGTCTCTCTTTTTCTCTCTGTCTCTGCCTCCGCTACCGCCACCGCCACCGTCACTGCCTCCGTGCCTCTATCTCTGCCTCTCCGCCTGTGCATATACCTCTTCCTCTTGGTGCCAGCCATGAATCCTCGATCGGGCCGGGGGGTCAGGAGGGCTGCATGGCGCACCGCCCCTTTAATAGCGCTACGTCGACCTCTTCCATTCACCGTGCTTCCATCTACCAGTGGCAAGTCGAAGACCATTGTTGAAGACCATTGTCGCACTGGATATGCGATCACGCTCTCACCCTGAGCAAACGATACACGCATATGTCATGAAGGGGTTGCGTTTATTATGAAACTTGTTTTCGATACGCGAAGAGAAGATATTATAATTATTTTTTCTTTAATGAAAATTTTATGGAATTATAGATCTTTAAAATAATTGTGATAAAAAGTACTTCAAATCGCAATATGGATCCGGTCCCCATGAATTTTTATCCAGTTCGTTAAAATATTATATATATAATTGTTGCGCTTTTAGTTTTTCAGTTCGGTCGTCGCTGCATCGGACTTTTGTAATATAAAAAATTTAAGAAATAAAAATATTTTATTTTTATATAATTTTCAAAAATAAAACATATTTTGTCCGCCAGTTATTACAAAGATTTTAATTTGACTTTTTGACAAAAAGGGTTGAAAATATATCTATGTATAATTTTACTCGCGATTTTCGTTTGGTATACAAGTTTATTAAAAATTTTAATACCAATGTTTTACTGTATCCTCTCTGGATCTGCGATCTAACAATAAGTCGACCCACCTGTCAGAAGGCGCATAGAACGAAAAATATTCCTAGGGCCCTTACCCTGTCGGCTGACCCTTCTTTTGAGCGAAACGAAGGGTGGATGACATATCGAGTGACAGGAAGCTGTCAGGAGAGAATTCGATATACAACAATTCGTAAACGATTCGTTATTATTCGAATTTTTACGGCACGACCCCTCTTTTTCCGCCTCGTAATATCAAAACCTCTGCCGTGTAAAATCACCGAAAATAGGTATTCTTGAAATTCAAGACGTGCAAATGACCACAGGCGTAAAGAATATCAGATTATTGAGATGAAGTAATTATGTGTATTGTAAGACAAAACTTTTTAAACATAATTTTTGAAAGAAAAGTTACTTTATTATATACACGTATATTTGGCTCACAGAATCAATAGTCATATCAATAGTCTCCAACAGCTAATGCTTAGTTATTAGTCTTAAAATTAAGAAAAATATTAAAGACAATATTACAATTAATATTGACTAGTATAATTATCGACTAGCATAATTATATAACATGCAATATACAAAAAATGCGTAATTTGCACTTTGCAAATTTGTGTCTTTTTTATGTCAGTCGATTTTACAAGTATCTTGTACAAGGTGATTAAAAAATAAATATTTTACAAGACATTTCCTATTAAAACTGATTAGAATATTATATCAAATGTCTTGTAAACTATTGATTTTTTATGACATTACCTTTATATCTTAATATTTTTAAAGAAATGAATGGGACAATTAATAGTTAAAAATATTGAAAGTGACTTTGATATTTTAATCTTCCAAAAGGAATGGATAAGAAAATTTATAATTTTGGTTAAAAATAATGAAAGCGGCTTCGATATGATCTTGAATATGATTATTAACCAAGATCAAATTAAGGCCATTATTTTATATCCTTCTCGAAATCAAGCAGTTTGGAAATATTTTTGCTAAAGTTTCAAGTTTTTGAGAACTATCTAATTGTTCTAATCAGAATTGAGCCATATTATAATACATGATACGTATTATAATACATATGTATGATTACATTATATAGACATGTACATATGTATACATATATGCATGTGTATATATAATGTATTTTAATGTATTTTATATACATATACTAGAGATATTAAATTTATTTATATATAATATATATTATATATAATATGTTATATATGTTTATATTATATTTATATATATATATATTATATTTTACACGTCCGCATACATCACATATAGAATAATCTAATAAGTAAAGTGTTAAAACATTACATCTCTTAAAATAATCATTTTAGCAAAAAATTGAGATAAAAATTGTTTGGTTCTGAAAAGGACGTAAAATGGTTTTAGTTTGATCCTGATTAATCTTCTCACAGTCATATCTAAATCATTTATGTTTTTTTAAACGAAATTATATAAATTTTCTTATACAAATTGACTTTCTTTAATATTCTGTATATGGTGTATGTATATACTGTTACGTATATTTTTTACACAAAATACAAGTATATTTAATGTGTAAGAATATATTTTTCTAATGATATATCAAGAATAAAATTTTCTAATGGAAAAGTTTTCATAAAGATTTTATAAAATTATATTTGAAATTTGTAATACTGTATTTTGTATAAAATTATATAATATAGTTTGCATAAAATGTATAATTGTTAAGAAATTTGGATGAAATCCAATTTCGTCAAAATATCACAAATAAGCACACGGCTTACGATATTCTAAAGCAGTAGCTGAGGGATCTGACATTTCGGCGGAGGTGTTTTCAAGTAAATTGCCCTTTTTCGTGTCAGTCTCGATCGCACGAGATTTATTATTTTCCTTCTCGTGTGTCTTCGCGTGCTTGTTGAGATGATCACTTCTCATAAACTTTTTATGGCATTTGTCGCAGATATGCTTCCTTTCGCCGGTGTGCGTGCGAACGTGACGCTGCAGCTCGTCACTGCGAGTGAATTTTCTATCACAGTGAGGCCACCTACAGTGATACGGCCGTTCGTTGGTGTGCGATCTGATATGCGCCTTGAGATGCGACGACTTGCCGTATACCTTTGTACATCCCGGTATGTGACATATGTGTTGCCGTTTGCCGTCGCTGTTAATCGGGGCTTCGTCGTCTTTGGCAACGCAATTAGGACACTCGCATCTCTTCCTGCTGGATTTATTGGGGTTGGATTTCCTGGGCCAGAGTACGAAGCCTGGAAGTTGAGAATTCAAAGTCTCCATTGGCGAATGATAGAAATTACCTTCTAACATGTATCGATGAGAGTGTCCCGCTGTTTCCGTTAACTCTTGTAACCGATTCGAGTTTAATGAGTGATAATATTGGTCGATTGAACGATCTGTTGCGATCTGGTGGTTAGGATGGTTCTGCATTAACGACATGCCGGTCATCATCTCGGGCTTTGGCATTGCTGTATGTGTATTGCTGTATGACATCAAGGGTTGACAACTGTCTTTATAAGGAGTGGTATTCTGGTATTGGTAGATCGTTGTGCTTGGCAGAGTATACGAGAATGGCTCGTATGTAAAGTTTTCCTGACATGCTGGCTTGGGAGACATGGCAGAAGCGAGGGCAGAGGTGGCATTGTCGCTCGTTTGATAGTAATAATTTGGCGTATAATTATAACCTTGCTTGTAAAACTTGTAGTCCTGATTTATGACATTCCTATTGTCAATATTGTACTCTGTCAGGTGAGGAAACAGCCTATTCGTTATTTGTGTCATATCATTCATTGAAGATGAGATCGATGCCGTTTCAGTAGATGTCTGCAAGTAAAAGACACGTATTAGTAGAAAAAAAGAACAGAGAGAGAGAGAGAGAGAGAGAGAAATTTTATGTGAATGTCATTTATTAAGTAATTTTAAACAAATCCCAATACAACACAACAAGCATACATAACGTATAAAGAACAATACATAATGTGTCAATAAGAATAATGAATATTATATGTTTATAATTAATCAAAGTAGTATTGCATTGCATGTGTATACATGTGTCAAAGATACACATATATGATTATAAGATGCTCAATACGTGATTAATGAAATATCTTATGAAAATATTAAAATTATTTAAAAATTATAGAATATTAGAATATCACACAAATCTTAGTCAACAAAAAATTACAATACTATTGTACGCACATTTATAGATATATGCAAATATTATAAATATCAAATATTAGTGTATACGAGGGACCACTATTACTGTACGATATATCATAGTCCTGATAAAGTATATCTCACTATATAACCAAATGTTTTTTAAATCTTTAGAGGGCCGCAAGGTTTTTTTCTTAAATTATGAAAATTTCATTCTAAGAAAAGATATATACATTCAATATATCATTGGATAAAAAAATATCTATCATTAAAAAGACACTCGGCTATTGAAATATACTTTGGAGACACTATCATAGTTTTAAAATAATCTCTCTTTCTCTCTCTCTCTCTCTCTCTCTCTCTCTCTCTCTCTCTCTCTCTCT